CTATGTTTTTATAATTTTGTCATAAGAGACATGTAATACATTAGTCTCTATTAAGAATTAGATGACATATTGGATGGACTCAATTAGGAATGAATAAGTTTTGAGTCTTCAGTAGACAGTATACAAAACTCTTTGTATAATATTTTTCTTATAATAGAGATAACTCAAATTTGAAGTTTAGCTTAGTGAGAGAGATTATCTAAGTTATGGTGAAAAAAATTTGAATCTTATTTTTGAATTTCTAATTCAAAATGACAAATCTTCCTTGATGTATTAATTAAATTGTGATGTTCTCAGCTTATTAATATGGATTATCATTTTTTTTTTTTGTTATCTTTGGTCTGTATTTTCTATTTCCTTTTAGTTCTTGTTGGATAAATGAATTTTTTTTGGAAATGTTCCAAGATTAAATCTTTATTAATTTATATCAATTATCTTCCAAAAAGAGAGTTATATGTAGTAGTCTAATCATCCTAATTAAGTCGCTTAATTATATTTCAAGTTTTACAGTAATCTATCAAGAGAGATACAACAAAATCTTTAACCGTATAAATCTTATACTACAACTTATAAAATCAAATCAAACACCATAGTTAAAAACAAACATACCAAGATGTTAAACCTACATGATTTTATATTGGTATACATGAAATCCTAACACAAATTTGGACCACCTAGTCAATAACATACAAATCCATGAAACAAAGAATAAGGAACAAAATCACTAGTATTAATTTGATACAAAATTAAATTGAAGAAAAGAAATACAAAGTTATCCACAATGTAATTAGAATATTTTATCTTTCTACGAATGATTTTGTAACACAACTCAAAAGAAATGGTTTTACAAATTATATATAAATATTTAAACTTAAAAATATTTTTAAAAAATAACATGAAATAACTTTATATATATATATATATATATATATATATATATATATGTATAATTTCAATAGATTAAATTTTGTATTAATCATTGTAAGTTTTACACTTTGATCTATTAAAAACATTAAATTATAAACTATATTGTTTTATTTAATTAAAATAATAAATTAATGATTAAAACATAAAATTTTCAAATAATTAAGAAAAATTAATAATTCTAAACAATTTTTTAATAAAATAGAATGTTTTTCATTATCAATCCAAATAAACTTAAGATCATAAAACTATACTAACATTCCAAATGAGTTAAAAATACTTCTAAATAAAATCTCTATTTATTCAATTATAAGATTAAAGAATGAAAAATAATTAGAATACTAGTGAAATTCACCATTAAAATATCATTATGTAACGCTTAAAGCTTTAAAGCTTTAAGCAAACACATTATTTGTTAATTTTTTTACATAAACTAAAAACAATTCTTTTAATTCTAATAAATAATTTTTCTAAAATTTAAAAGATAAAAATTATAAAATAAAAATTTAAAAAATAAAATAAAATTGTCACTTAATGTTTTTAAATTATCATTTTATGATTATAATTATGAAAGTATATTAATTAGCACTTAATGTTTGATAGTACAATTTTTTTATTTATTTAATGATGATAACTAAAACAAACATATGCCAATCATTGACTAAACAAATATAATATACTAAAACCAAAATCATAAAATACAAATAAAAATAAATTTATGATCCGAAGATAAATAAACTCTTGGATATTATAATAAAATTACAAATTGACAAAAAATTTTGAATAAAAAATATTTTTTTAAAATTATCAAAATTTAATAATCTGTAAAATCATAAATATATTCTTATTAAAAGTCAATCTCTATTGATATTATCAATTCCGTACATTGCAATTTATTGATTTTCCTTATTGGTGTTACTTTTACCTACTTACTAAATTTTATAGTATAAATTTTTAAGGGTGAATAACTAATTTAGTCTTCAAGACTATAATAGAAAGATAATTTAATCACTAAAATTAATAAAGTGATAAAATAAGATTTAAAATTGTATTTTATATTTTATATTTTATATCTTTTGTTTTGTGTTTTATACTTAATTATTTATATTTTATTTTTAATGTTTTTATATTTTATATTTCATTCTTTATATTTTATTTTTTGAATTTAAAGTACACAAGTAATGAAAGTGAATTGTATTTAAGATATTATTTTTATAGTACTAGATAGTTTTATAATTGTTAAAAAAAGTGTCTAGTAAATTAAGAAAGAAAATTATTTATTAAGTTTTCTTGTATTAGATGTTAAGTAATTTTAAAGTTTTAAACATATAAAAATAAATATTTTAATTGATATTAAGAACAAAAATAGTTTAGATTCTTTTTCTATTAATTATTAAGATATATTTTCATTGCTTAATTAATAAATGTCTTAAATATATTTCAATGTCTATTATTTATTACTTGCACAAAATATTTATTTAATTTGAATGATAAATATTTCTCTCAATTATAATTTTATATTTTCTTGATATTGTTTATCCATCAAGTGTATGATATACGTGCAATTTTTTATTCTAATTTTATTTCATCTCAATCTTATATTATTGTAATTGTGTAATTTTTTTTATTATTAATTTGTTAGTGTGTGTAATGATTGCAATATTATTACACTTCTATGATTGTAACAATAAATAGTTATATGATTTTATAATATTATCATAAGTTATTGGATATCTAACAAAATATTTATAGAAAACTGAAATTATATAGTTTTGATGTATGTTATTATAAAGAAAATTGTGGTTTTTTGTATTTATTATTTAATATTAAATATATTTTTAATAAATTTTTGAAAACATCAAGAATGTTTTAAATTTTATTTTATTACATTTCTTTAATCGCATAAACTATTCAAAATTAATCATTAATGATATTAATTACTACTAATGTTTCTTTATAATTAAGAGAAACTATATGTAAAATAATTTGAGTGTGTACTTAAGTTTCCCTGAAATATTTTTATAAATATAAATCTTAACATCTGTTTTTATTAAATATTAATTAAAACATTTTTTATATAATTTCACAGGAGAATTTTAACAAGTAATCATTTTATAAAAAAAATGCATTTTTTGTTAAAATATAATTTTATAGTGAGAAATAAATAAACCAATAAAGCTAACAATATTTTTTATTATCTTGTCCAAAAAGTTATTACATATTTATCAAATAATAATTTTAAATGTTCTGTTAAAAAAAAAAGATACGTTATTAACATTATACATAGATGATATTGTTGAATAATCATTTCCATATTACAAAAATATGTTTGGACTTCTCTTTAATCATAGAAAATGATAAACTTAAACAAAAAATATAAATTTTTTTATCTTAAATATTAATTTAATAAAAGAAATTAAAATATTATATTTTTATACATTAAAAGAATAATTAATTATACTTTAAATATAAAAATACAAATCAAATTTATTACAAAGTACAAGGATCGAGACATAGATTTATTGCAAATTACAAATTTATTTTTCCTGTTCATAAATTGGACTACCTGCAACCTAACCTTTTCCCTTTCTAGGCTTTACTTCTTTCTTTGTACTTCAACTGCCAACCCAAAGAATAAAAATTAAAACTTAGTTGAGGAAGTTTCAGACAAGCACACACAGCTTGTGATGGTAGGAATAGAGCTTAGAAAGCACGAACTAAGTGTTTTCTTTCATTTACTGTAATGCATTCTTTCATTTGCTGTAATGCATGCGGTCAGAGAAACCTCCTCTAAAACCCATTTCTCTAATGTTTGCTTAATGTATTTGAGCAAACATCACTTTTCAGTTGAACAACATCTTCATCAACAAAATTTTTTCAGGTATATTCATGCTGATACTACATTATGTGTTTTTTTTTTTAAATATTAAATCTTCTTCCTACTCAGCCTTTGTCGATTTGTCTTCCTTTGCAGATCACACCCTTCCCAGAAGAACACAATGCAACCACATAGGGAAGATGACATTGTAAAGAAAAAACAATAGAAAAGCTCATTCTACTCTTGTTTTTTTGCTTCTTTTTTTACATTGTTTTCTTTTCTATTTATTTATTTATCATTTTGATTGATTTTTGCTGTTACTGTGAAGTTGATGTTGGTTGCGAAGTGATTTCAGGGGTTTGATTCTTTTTGCAGCATTTTGTTGTGTATATTGTTACAAGTATCAGAATTTCACATCACTAGTTACTTACTTCCTTGAATAAACCATAAATGTTATTAATTACATAACTTGTATATGTAAATCATTCATGCAGTGGGCTTGTTATTGGTAATGAGGTTTATTCTTCAAACCTATGTTTTTATCCTCCAAAGAGAATTCAGTGCCTTCAGATTTAATGTCTGCCTGGAGCGGGTTTCACCCAATTAGCATTTGCTTTACCATACTTCTCTGCATGTCGCTTATTTTTTATTTTTCTTGTGGTTAATAAAATCATTGGCATACATGTTGACATACAGCAAAGGAAAATTCTTGTTTTGTTAATGTGAGAGATTAAATAATTTTTTTTAACAGACTTTCGACAACCCCTTGTCTTTTTAGAAGTTTGACATTTGAATTTACAGGTTTATCTTATGTTTTGCTTCTTTAAATGCAAACTTTTTGTTAAACTGATGTGTATAAAAGGCATAATTTTTCTTCATTGGCTTAACTTATTTGCGAGACATTGTGTACTTATTCCAAATGGTTGGTTTAAAGATTTTTATATTTTAAACATTGCTTTGCTAACTTGGCTGTTCAATGTAGTAGATATTTATGTGTTTGTTATTCCTGGCAGGCTGATTGTTGCCAAATATGTGGTGCTACTGGTTGGAAAGAAACACTACTTACTTGTTGTAAATGCAACCTGAGCCGTGAACATGCGTAATAATCTCCCATATGCTATTCTCCTTTTTCTACTCATTCCTTCTTTCAGTATATTTGATACCTTGTTTCATGTTATTTCCATACCATTTCAGTTATTGCCTTAAATATCCTATCTTTAAGATTCCAAACTACTGGGTTTGTGACCCTTGCAAATCCATGAGTGTGTCAACTTCACCACGTAAGGTGAATCAGGGTGTTAGCTCGAGGGCTTCTGAAATGCATCAAACTGGCAAAACAGCAATAGTGAAGTCACTTTCAGAGGATGAAGTCATTAGACTCTCTTCTGGTCGACCAAGTTGTACTTTGCCGACCATCCGGAAGGCTTCTGTTGGGTCCAAAAATGATAGTTCATCCGTGTCATCCCTGATTCCAAATTCAAATCCTCGTGATTCATCTACCAAGGTACTGGGAAAACATCCAAGAAATGATGAAATACACAATAAACCAATGACTAGTAAACATGCGTCTTGCTCATTATCATCAAAAGGTGAGAATTTCTCTCCATCTTTGCTGCCATCCCTATTTTCCTGTTTCCTCTACACATTTATGATACATATTGTTAATAGCAGTAGCAGAGTTTTAAGTTGAAGCTGAATTTGCCTTGACTTATTGAAATATTGTGCTTGTGAACTTGGGTTTACATGTAGGGGTGGAAATAGGTCAGATAGGTGAAAATATGTAAGATAGTTCGTTAGGGTCTATGACCTGACCTGTTTATTAAAAAAGTCAAACTTTAAGATTTTTTTAAAAGAAAAAAGTCTGCTAAGTTTGACATACTAACCTGTTTATATAATAATATCATGTATTTTATCTTTATATATTTTACAAATATAATATAAAAAAGTAATGTAATTTTAAATTTTAAAAGTGTTGACATCTGAATTCAACCTATACTTTTGTTTCTACTTATAAGGAATACAAAATTTACTTGGTCGTTGAAACAAGTAGTTATATAGTAATACAATAGAAGAAAGAATAAGATTACAAGAATTAAAATTAAGTGAAATAAGAAAAGAGATATAAGTCGAACAGATAGCACAGTTTTATGTTATTATTTAATTATAAATTATTATTCTCTGAATAACTTGTAAAATAATTATTATGAAAATTAATAAATTTATTATATATGATAATTTGTAATCAAATGAAAATTATTTTTATTGTCAGTACATAGTTACTACTCTTAATCAAGGTTTTTTAAAATTATATTTTCTTAATTTATAAAACTCAATCTTGATATTATATATGATAAATTCAAATTTAGTATTATTTAAATTATTGTTAGTTGTTATATTTTTTTACTTAATAGTTAAGATATTTTGCATGATTAAATTGTTACTTTTGGAAAAGAGAGTGATTATGTTTAGTGATTAATAGTGGTTCATCATAAGGATACATGTTTTCCTTTCTCTTCCCTTTCTATCACTTTTTCTCATTGTTGAGTTAATTACTTTGGCTAATAATTTTAGTTTATTCTTACTTTTTATGTGTCTGTCTATTTTAATATAATGACATTACTTGAAATTTTCTTATTTCCTTTAATATTAGTCTTTAGAAAGCAAATACCCGTTACCTTTTTAGGCTCCTTGGCCTAGTTAGGTTTATTGTCTTGTTTATAAGTTTTTTTATAAAACAGGCTACATAAAGATGTTTTCAGACTAGGTTAGACCCGACTTTTAAACAAAGTTAGACTAAAAGGTTTATGATAAGTAAATACGTCAGATTTGTATTTTGTAATAATGATACCGCACTTATGTGTTAGTAAGAGTTTCATATACTTACTTTTTGGATACATTTTGTTTGTATGATATAATTGAACATAAGTAGTCTTTTAACTTGATAACTCTACTAGAGTGTTTTAAAAAAACGTGATATCATACAATTAGTCTAGATTTAAGTTTCATTCAGTGACACTTACTGCATAAGAATTTACACAATCGGTGATATAGAACAACAATGTGACTTGTTTTAGGAAAAGTGTTTAATGCCTCTTCGTTGCAAGTTTACCATGAAATTTTCGATTTCCTACTACTATATATGTTTCCTGTAGGACCAACAAAGGAGTGTACTGGAGAAAACCAGCAACCCCTTGGTGGAGTGATAATTGATAAAAATGTTCAGATCCATTATCCTGGGAAAGAACAGCCCACAAACAGGGCATCTTTTGAAGCTTTATCAACAAGAAAATCTTTCACTTTTGTTGGTTCAGGTAGGATACTTCTATTGTTATGATTTAATTGTTTGTATTATTTCTCATGCTTTTGTCTGTTGTTTGCTACATTAATTTCTAACAACACTACATGCAAATATAAGGCATGTATGTGAGTATGTATCATGGTATTAGTCACTTGCAGCCGATGGATTCTGAATCTGTTAAGTCGTAGTTTCTTTGAGTCACTGCTTGGATTCATTTTTGTTCTAGCAAGATTTCTAGATTATTTGCCAAAGCATTCAATATGTCTTGTCTGTGAACATTACCCCGTCATGTACTTATAGACACTTTTATGGTTATTGTCCACTCTCCACATAGGGAGAAAATGTTCTTTGGTGGCCCCTTACATTACATGTTTCTTAAGTTTCGGTCATGATCCCCTATTATCTAGAGAACTTACTCAAACTCTATTTTTAAGGACTCACATGTTTTTACTTGAACTTGAGTCCCTCTGGCCGAGTAGGTTGATATAGTGGAACCTTTAGGCTGTGTGAGTTGAGTTGTGTACTCTAATGAGAAAAGATGTTACTGATGAGGTTTGCACGATTACCGAATGAAGGTCTATATGCAAGTGACTTTCTAAGGCTCAAGTTAGTAAGTATATAAGATATTATAAATGAAAAAGTAATGTAATTGGAAGTATGAATCAAAGTGAGACTTCCTTGGGATGAGGTGTTTATCATATAGGCATTTGAGGTCCATACTTATAGAATGAATAACAAAATAATTATATTTTACGAGAGTTATTATGAATAATATAACATTGAAGATATAACATAGGATATCCGAGTTGTTGGACATTATCTTTTATGTGGTTCCCAATTGATTTGTTGACAATTGATTTGATTTATAAGATATCCAAATTATATTTCGTGTAAATTGGATGTGGCCGATAGGTACATAAGTCTCCCTCCCTCTCTTCTTAAGCTTGAAATTTGAACAATAACTGTTATTAAGTACGTGAACTCAACTCTGATGAGCAACTTGGAAGGAGTTTCAAGATGAGTTAAGTCATGCAACTTGGAAGGAATTTCAAGAGAAATTATTTAAGAGGTTCAAGAAGAAAGTAAATCATTCTTAAAAGAGCAAAATAACTCACTATGTGTTAAATTCCAAAAGTGTGATACAAAGAATGGGAATGAGTATATGTAGGGAAGGAGTATATATAGGGAAGGAGTATGTGGGAGAGGGAAGAAAGGGAGAAAGATTTGAGTTTGAAATTCAAATCTCTCTCAAGAGAACATGTGAGTCATGTGTGTCACATTTAGCCTGTGCTAAATATGTTCTATGTGAGGTGCATGCTTCCCATGTGCAACATGGGCTCTCCTTTGCTTAGAAGACTGTCAGATGATTCTAGAATTGGGCTTGAGTTGCTAGCCGATTCTCTCTCATGGTTTGTGGTGTAGATATTCTATTGGGCTTGGAATGTGTTACCCAAAATGAGGCCCAAAGTGAAGCCCAAAAAGCCCACCTATACTACCATTACAAGCCTAAACCAAAAATCTAAATCTATAATATTTCTTAACATGAGAATGGGGTTGTGTCATGCTTCTTGTTATTCATCATGAAAGGGTGATATCTTGTTCATTTCTTAGTTTGCTATTTCATCACAAGGTCTTCCTTCTTAAAGTTGTGTTCTTTGATGATAAATATGAAAGGGTGATATCTTGTTCATTTCTTAGTTTGCTATTTCATCACAAGGTCTTCCTTCTTAAAGTTGTGTTCTTTGATGATAAATTGTGCTTTCAAGTAGCCCTTCTTTTGGCAGCTTCCTCTCACAGTTGAGCTGGTTTTTGAACTTCGTTAATAAGATCTAGTTCGACTTTAAAGCTTTGATTATTATGAGCATTGTTGAACAATTTTTGTCTCCATGATTCTAGTCAAACTTGGTGAAGAATTTGGTAGCTTTGGCTGGAGATTAGAAAGGTGTATGTTTTGTGGAGGATTATAGCGTACAATTGTAGTCCCACATATATGCTTGATATCTTGTTGGCCTATAAGCCTTTGACTTGTCTCAATTTTTTTTAAGTTTATTATGTATGAATTTATTAACAACTTTTGCTTGTCCATTTATTCGAGGATGTTTGACTAAGGAGACTTGATCTTGATTTTGAGATGTTGAAGGACTTGCTCAACTCTTTTGTCAATGAATTGTCTTCCTTTATTGACGATAAATACATATGGTAACCCTTGTCAATACATGATATTCTTCCAAACAAAATTTTGGACTTGTGTCACTATTATTACTAAGGGTCCAAGGATATTTATGCACCAAAAGGTAAAAGGCTGAGGAGTAATTGTGTTGTTCAATTCCTCTAGTGGTAAATTGTGTAAAGGACTAAATTGTTGGCATTCCTTACATTTTTGGGAAAATTCCTTAGCATTAGTCTTAAGAGTGAGCAAATAATATCCTATGGTAAGTATGTGAGCTACCATATTCCTCACACTTGAAGTTACTCTACAAATGCTTTTATATAGAACTGTGAGACTCATGCTCCAATCGTCCGTTTGATCTTAAACAAGAGCAAAATTTTTAACAAGTAAGACAAGAAAATTAAGAAAGCATGTACGACAATCAATTTGACTAGGGGGAGGTAGGATTAGATTACCCACACATGTGGAGAAGACTAGTGTAGACTACACTAGTGTAGAGTGCATATACAAACTGGTCTATTTTTAATAATGTACAAGATAATTAAATTAAGGTCATAAAATAAAATAAAAAATTCATACATATTTGCTAAATATATCTTATATCCCTATTTATATTCAACCTAATCAAATCATGTCTTTAACATTCCCTTTTAAGTTGGACATTTATGTCATGTGTTAAACTTATTATAAATATAATTATTGCAAGACTCTTTTGAGAGATTGTGAGTATATTTGCTTCTTGTTCATTAAAGTTGACAAAGTTACTGGTTATTTCTCCTAGAGAACCTTCTCTCTCACAAAATGACAGTTTATCATGTGTTTAGTAAGATCAGATTATATGCAATGTAAATAGCAATTTGATCATTGCAAATGAGCTTAGTGCCCTAAATGTTTTGGAGTTGCTGAAGAAGTTGTTGTAGTCATGTAATTTCGCTTGCAGTTGTTGCCATGACATGATATTTAGTTTCAGTATTAGATTTGACAACTATATTCTTTTTCTTGCTCCTTCATGAGATTAAATTACCTCTAACAAGAACAAAAGCTTGGTGTAGACAATTTCTTTGAATGTAATCTTTCCCAATTTGCATTAGAGTAACAAACAATTTTGGAATTGCCTTTGTCCATTATATATGAGCTAATCACTTAGTGCATTCATGATTTAATAGAGGATTCAATTGACGATGTTCCAATGACTATCGCAAGGGGCATTGAGGAATTGACTTGCTACAATATTAGGCTAAAGTGACTATTGCTCCTAAAGGGTCGAGAACTCCCTAATGAGCCTCTAACTTGTTTAATATCCTCTCCACTTCTCCACTCTTTTGACCATAATCTTCTTTGAAGGACTGGGTGATGTGTCTGTAAAGACTCTCTTGACGCTTAAGTCATTTAGAGAATAAGTGATTCAATAATTATGTAAAAATCATTATAAGTGCATACCTTGGAAACTGCATTATTTATATTGCTTTAAATGGGTCTTTTACCTAATGGGTCCTTGGAAGGATCCAAGACGGTCTCTAATCATAGTTAACTTTGATTGTCCCATAATCTTCATTAATTTAACTTATTTAAGCTAGTTCTAATTATGTGGAGATCCTCTTTACACATTAGTCCCCAAACTTGAGGAGCCAAAGGTCATGAAAGTCATTCTAATGTAAAGAAAGAAAAATCCATTTCTTTGCTCATAGTTTCCTTGGTCTAGTAGGTATACTAGCCTCCTAGACTCGGGGACAAAGAGTCCAAAAGATCAATTGAAAGGTTGTTGGTGAATGGGTGAGTGGTTAGTCGGATCTAGCTAATGTGGTAGTGGCGAAAAGTCGTTTAGGGGGTGATAGTGAAGAGTTTGGGTCAACCAAGGGGTATTTAGCTACATCCATGAGTGTAGGCAGTGTGGTATCATTCGACTGAGAGAACGTTGGTAATGATGAGGATGGTACTGATGTGGAAAAGGCTGAGGAGGAGTTGGTTGAATGTACGAGTTATGAGTGGGTTAATCATCATGGTAAGGGGTAACTCTCTAAGTATAAGTGGTCCACTATTTTGAGATCTTATAAGGAGTCTCGGGATTTGTCAGAAAATACTAACTCAAAAGATATGGTGATGTTATGTCAATGTTGATCCATTGACAACATTTCTCATGACCAAGAGGGTTAAGAGGATTATTTCTATATGTATTCATGTATTTTCTTGGATATACATGTTCAATTGCCTTTTGATGAATTTACCATGGGTGTCTTAAGGGATTTGAATGTTGCACCTACGTAGCTACACTCGGATAGTTGGGCAACATTCCGAGGGTTTCGTCTCCTCTACCAAGTGTTACATCTTACACCAACACCTCAAGTGTTTCTCCATCATTTTGGTACTAGGCTTGGATATTCGATAGGTTGGTTGTTGTTAATAGGTCATTCGGCTTCTTTGTTATTTGCACCATACATCTCTTCGTATAAAATTTTAAAATTGGTTTCTTTAGAGTAGTGATTGAGACTAAAGGTCGAGCCATCTTCTATGATGGTGATAGATCGAAATTTTCGTATTATTGGACTTGGGATCCCTTGCTTTATCAAAGTTGGCCAAGATTTGAGTTGACTTCCAAGCATGTAACAACTGATCCGACCGAGATATTATAGGCTTTCATAAAGCTTCAAACACAATATTTAGTTCTTGGAAAATGCTTGGGCTCTGATTTACTAAAGGTTGAGAACAACATTGAGTTGTCCCGCGTTAAAAGGGAATTGGCTTAGACCTCTATCTCTTTAAATGAGTCGTTGAAAGCAAATTCGTCACTAAATGCAAAAGTTGACAACTTTAGTGCATAGTGATCAACACTAAAATCTTAAAACACTTTACTGCATGAGAAATACGAACGAGTTGAATTAAATGAGAAGAAGCTAAAAGCTAACGTATACGAATTAGAGCAAAGGTTGACCGAGATGACATTGGCCATGAAGACAAAATTGAAATTAAAGAAGCAGGCTTACCAAAAAGTGCTAGGTATCAAACAGTGTGTTATACGAGAACACATTGAAGGTTTTAACAAAGCTATTCGACAAGCACACTTTTGTACTTGTCAAGGGATTGTGCTTAATGAGGCAAAGTTCGATGTGGATTATAACATATATAAGGATGCTCTTTGCCACATAGATGACATCCCAGATGACGTCGAGACATGAACAGAGATCGAGAGGTTGCCTATCCTTGTTGTTGATTCTAATAATAATTGATTTGATATAATAGTTTAGGTATATATTTTTTGTAATTTCATTGACTAGGTAGTTCACACTAAGCATTTTGTAGTTTGGTTAAAATGAATGATCATAAGATTTTGCTATCACTTTAATTTTTTGTGTTTATTTGGTGCTGAATTGGTTATATGTGTTCGTGGGAGGAATTGCTTTACTTTTATGCATTTGTTTTATGCTGAATTGGTTATCAGCTCGATGCATTCTCGGGAGGGATCACTCATGGTTTGAGTGAAACATTCTAGACCGAGTAGGTAAAAGCATATTGTGTTAGAAAAGTTATTTTATTAATGATATTAAAACTTCTCTGGTTGAAATCTGAAAGAATTAATGGTTGAGTTCAAGAGGGGGGGTGAATTGAACTTTAAAACTTTTTCGCAAATCTTACTTTCTTTTGGAAGAATGAGTTATCTTTATTCAATCTTTGCAAAGGTAATTTGATTTAAACACAGTACAATTAAAGACAGAAATTAAAAGAGATGAAAGAAGAATATTAACACACAAGTTTATACTGGTTCACTCTAATCCAGAGCTACATCCAGTTCTTGACAAACCAGTCAAGTTTCACTAATACCAAGTGAAAAATTACAACCGAGTAGATACTCACCAATCTACCTCAAGAACAATCTTGCAAAACCCACAAGACAGAATCTTGAAAACCACCCGAGTAACCAAATCCGATTCTTGTACCAAGTGCAGATTACAATCCAACCTGCACAATCAAACTTTACAAAAGAATATGAAAAGAATAAACCTGGACTTGAAGTTTCTAATTGTCCAGAACCAATTCTATCGACACTTTCTCTCTTTGAATGACCACAATTCGATCACGACACCTTATGATATGAAAAAGATTCTTGAATGCGAGAGAAAGTCACGTATGAAAGTTTCACAGATTGATTTCACAAGTTTTCTCAAGTAGTGTGTTGTATTGTATATTCAAAAGATAGATCAAATCTGTATATATAGAGTAAATCGAGAAAAGCGAACGTTTCATCTGTTAAAAGCTG